TGGGAGAGTTTATCATTTTATCTACTCTCTCTGTGGCACTGCCATGTCTTTCATGCCCCCTCTCGTCATACTCTACGCCCCACAAAGGCGGTTGCAGTCGGGCCCTTTTTTGTGTGCTCCACACATGCCGTCCACACTGCTGCGAGTGGGGCTGAATCAGAGACAAGTGATGGCAAGCCGAACAGGTGACCTCCATTCTCTCGCCAGCCTCAGCCCCTTTTTTCCGTCCCTTCATCATCAGCCCAGACGGTCTAGCCAACTTTATGCCTCAACTGGGCGTCAATCCGAGTCCGGACAAGCGTCCGCCAGGCTGTATGATTGTGTAATAAATTGTGCTGCTGTAAGGGGCGGCAATACCAACTCGAGGAGGGGTTACCGTCATATTCTGGCCATGATAGATTGTCAGATTTGGCATATAAACGCGGCCACTTGAACGGGTTCTCTTTCATCCCATCCCATCCCACACCACGGGCCGGACATTCCCACTCCACCCACTCGTGTACCACGTGACCTCGACCAACCTCGAGACCCATTTCGAGGTCAGTGAACACCTTTTATCTACTCCGCGCCGCTTCTTCATCCCCCACCCCACCCGACTCATCTTCCATACCCGAATCTCAGGTCAGGTGAGGTTTTGTTGTGGCTGTGGGTTTTGGACAAAGTGACAGGCTTGGGTGTAGAAAGACTCAATCGTCTGATTTATTTGCCCTTCGTCGTCCATTCGTCCACTCATCCACTTGGCCCATCGATCATTTCAATGCCGGACGGACACGCATCATCATCATCATCATTATCATACACATGAATATGCCTATTTATTGTGTTTGCTTGTATGTATGTATTCTATGAACTGGCCTCATGTAAAAAGGGGGATCAAATGGCTAAGGGGCTAGGATGGTGGTCAGCATTACATAAGATACCACGTGCTGCAGTACAACTGGCGTTCTATGGGTCTGGTTGTAAACCAATTGTCCGAGGGAGGGAAAGTTATTGCCCAGCCGAATAGGGCGATTCTAAATCTCCGGAGCCTGGGCCCAGGCCGTCAGAAGTGCTGAAGGGACCGGAGATTTATTACTTCGACTAACTGAGACAACCAGAGTATCGACATGTCCAGTAAGCTAGAGCGACGGTGCTAAGTTCACACAATTGCGAACACCTTTTTCCACCGGAAGCTATGCTGGCTCAGACATCGTGGTCGACCAAGTCACTCGAGTGACTTGGGGATTCGAAGGTCTAGTCAGCTTATGTCTTGATCACTCAAGGCTTACTCTCGGACCCTCGAAGTGTCTTTATTCATTGTGGCTTCTCGATGGTGAAAAAAGGTATTTTGCATCAAGAAATAGCGTCTCTATGTATCTAAACGATTTTAAATAATCGAATGTATGAAGACCAAGATAGTGTGGTCTTTTGTGTGGTCGCAGTCTCCTTTCGTTGTATAGAGGTTGTTTGAC